AGTTAATATCGCCTGCAGTCAGGTAGTTGTGTGGTCAGACATACCAATCACCAGGGTAAACTGACTGAGCACAGCTGAATGATTTTTGCCACGTTTGGGCAGAAACTTGGACTCCAGGCTTCTGTGGTGGATGAAATGGTCAATTGTGGCCTGACCCTCATTAATTTTCTTGTTGACAATGAGAAGAGACAGATCCCCTTTGCGGGACATGAGCTGTAGGAAACACCAGCCCATGTTTTGAAAGCTGAGATTAGCCAGGTCATCAGTCTTGAGGCCGGGAATCTGGGGCTTCCCAGCTGTTGCATTATGCATGAGAAGTTTATCGTGAATTGTCCTGTAATTGTCATTAGCATTGGCATAGAAGGTGATGCAAAGATCAAGCTTTTGCATGTGCTCCCAAAATGGTGCAACGTCGACATGCTCAAGATGGTATATGTCAGACTGGGGGAGTGGGTATCCGGTTTGAACGCTAGGATCTGCATCCTTGATGGCTTGTTGATGATGCTCCGGACTGAGAAAGGGATAGATGAGGACGTGACATGTAGGTGCTTCGCCATGTCCCCATGCCATTTGCATGGCAGATGCTTTCTTACGCCCTGTCGTGTTGGATCCAACGAAGGCGGTGTTTCTCGATGACATGGGAAGCATTCCAAGGAACACGTTCGAGTTGAAGCCATGGGATAGCAGGCCAGCGATGGACATTTCTGGTCTGACAAAAGGTTGGGGAAGAGTGACCACCTGAGTATTGGGCCTTGGGGTGTTTTCCTGAAGCAGACCGGCAGTGGTGAGCCTGCAAAGAGGTGATGTAGTGGCTACCAGATTGCGTCATGGGATGGGGGCTTGGATGCTGGTGGATACTGCTGTGGGACCAGCTGCTGATTGTGTGTTAGCAGGATCGGCCTGTGGTGCAGGTTTGGGACGTCGATGGGCTGTTTGAGAATTATGAAAGAGAGCGGACAGTGGGAGTGGCTGAGATTCGCTCTGCATGCTAGGGGGCATTGGGCAGCAGTGCAAGATCTCGCAAGACCTCAGAGGAATAAAAATAAATTCAATTTAATTATATGTTATTTTCTTTTACCAATGTCGAAGATTTTCATAGCGCCCTGCCGGGAAAGTAATGAGATTGTCCAGTCTGGCCGTTGTGACCACTGTGACATGATTCGCTGACTGTACCTTATCGCTGTCTTTTTATGGTAGGTGAGCTACCAAATGGCTGTGCCGACTGAATTTTTTTGGTGTGAGATCACACATGGCCCCACGAGATCTTGTGCGACCTCACGAGACTGCACAAGATCTCATAATTTTGTCCAGTAATTCCAAGGGTACATACAGCGAGATATATACACATGCCCAAATGAAAGGCCAGTGTCTGCCGTGTACCAATGTGGTCAGATCATGAGTAGTCACTCAAAGTCAACTGGAATAGTTGTACTCAAGCTCGCAAGAAAAATTTACTATTGCAAGGGCTGTCTGAGAAGCCAAAAAATTCACAGCGCACACCTTACCATTTTTGAGAAGGTGTGCACTGCGATCTCTCTAGCTGGGAATGGAACCCAGCCTTTAAAGCCCGTTAACGTGCTTCACCAATATGCCAACAGAGAGCTGAATGGGTCTAGGGAAACTAGCTTGACATTACCGCAAATTCGTTTACGTGATGGCTTCACCGCCTGTGAGCAAATGCACTTCCAATTGTTGAATAGCGAGTGCCATCCATGCTGGAGCTGTGCTTTGATTTAATTGAATGACTCTAACTGGTAAGCTGGATGTCAATATCATGTTATGTTCCACACTGCTCTACAACGAAAACATACGTCTCTTCAACAAACGATGATTCTCAAGGGGAGGCAGGCCATGTAGCCCTATAATTTGAACGTTGAGAAGTCTGTGACTAGAAACAAATAAATGAAAAATAAATGCTCAACGACTAACACCAGAGATAATTGACTGTCGAGTCGTAGAGTTTCTGAACTTGAAGGAGAGATGATCCTCTGTAAATGGTAGACATATCAAGGGACATCAAATGAACAATCCTGGATGAAGAGCAATGCCTAGAGATGGATGAAGGAGTGAAGTTCCTGGGTTCAGTTTAGTACTGAGATGAGAAAGAAAAAGAATTGTGCAGCATACACCCTCCTGTATTCGGGAGGGTGCACACTGCGATCTCTCTGGCTGGGATTCGAACCCAGCCTGTGACGTCCGTGCCAGCACGCTTCACCAATACACCAATAGAGAGCTGGGTATATGCAGTGTCGCCCTAGTCTTATTGCCATAGATTCGTTTATGTAAATGGATCCATGCTGGCAAGCGATGTCCTGGGGTTAATGATACTTCAAACAGGAAATTGCACTGCATAGTGTCCCGGGGCGTACTCGATCTCTCTGTGTTGATGCTATAGAAACATCAACCGTTATTCTTTTTGTGAAGCATGTCTTGAAGCATCCAACCAGAGCCACAGCCTTTGTTTATTTGCCCAAATGCCGCGTGTTGTTAGAGGATGGATAAAGTCAACAATTTCACCACTAATCAGACAGCGTAAAGAGTTGACTTCGCGTTCAAAGAGAATAACAACGAGGGGTCCTGGTCAGAGCGTGCAAGGCTTTGTTAACGAAATCAGAGAACCTTCAGTATAACCTCTGGAAAGTCTAACTGCAAACAGAAACCGCGTGAGATGTATTATCTATGAAGAAAAGGAAAGTCCCAGACACCAGCAGACACCCAGTGAGCATGTAATGAGATGTAATGCAGTCAAGACAGAAAATGCAACCTTGGCATGCCTTGATTGCCATCGGAACTCCCCGAGATTTGACAAACTATGATGGTGATTCAGAGACAAAGATCAGAAATCAACCATTTTCGACCTTTTCAATTGGGAATACCCGGTATTTACTGGTATTACCGGGTATTCCTCAGTAATACTGGGTATTCACCAGTATTCATCAGGATTTTCTGACCTGATATATACTGGTACTGCCTGACAAATGGTATTCCACCCATACCTGTAAATACTTGTCCATACTTGCCAATACCTCCATCCCAATCACGATCATCAATCCATGTATCTAGGGTGTTCCAGGATCCTAACCATCTATTACAGTAACACATGAGTTAAGCCTGCAGTCCCAGGTCTATCCCAGTGCAACACACACACATCAAGATGATCCCAGGATGGATGAGGGTATAGAAGGAATAATATGGGGGGATGGTGTGGAGGTGAGGGAATAAAAGAGGGCTACTAGCTGGCAGCAGACTCACCCTTCTTTTATGTAGCATTTGCAATTTTCCATTCACATGGAAGGACAACTTTCACAGCATGGCTGAATACACGCCGCCTGTCATTCACGCCAAGATATTCTTTTAATTTTATGATATGCATTATATAAACACCACCATATATTGATGCCAACCATTACAGATTTCAGCACATGTGATTCTGTGCCAGGCTAACATTCTTCAAACTCCAGTGTCGCAGAATGCAGGTATCTCATTCAAAAACAAGAATTTAACAAGTCCTTATAAATCTGATTGAAATAAGATATCGAACTCATGAGCAAGTAGGTTGAACCTGAACATTGACTTGTATCTCAAACCCTTTGAGTTGGATGTTTCTCGTCCCCCCTCAATATCTGCTTGCCCTGAAATCACAGTAAGAGAACGACTCTTCCACATCATGTTGATCTCATATAATTTAGCAGTACAGGGACCCGAAGGATGTTAGCAATGAATATTCAATCCAGCCGGGGCTGATCTCTGCACTGCTCTGCCTCGAATCCTTGTCAATCTACTTGTTTTCTCCTCCCCAGTTTTTATTGAGTACTACTCTCCTTGCCATCATTTATTCAGCTGTTGCTGATATATCCAGAATTTTGATTTAACCCCCAATCTCATGAGAATAAATTCTATGCACCATCGACCAGAATGCGAATACATGTATTCCTCAGTTGACATCTTTGTAAATTCAAAATACATGGGGACCTTCAGTGGCATGTCAAGTGCTGCACATAACCATCAGAATGTGCAACGTTCACTCGTTCACTGGCTCGCTTTGCTACCCTAAATCTGAAGGTGATATTGCATCCTCCTGATGAATTGACAAAGGTTTTGGCCTGTTACAGTTGCACGATAACCCGGATATTATCCCTCACAGACCAACAGTATACTAGAATTTGAGGGCCACCACATATGTGTGGCAGATCCGAGTCCTATAGTACTCTGTTTTTGTGTCCATCCAAGCTCACAAACTTCTATTGGAGAAAGAAATTAGGACAAATTTCCAAAGCCCGATTATGGTCTATGGCAAAAAGCTAGTGTTCTATCTCTTTGACCTGCCAAGTCAGTCCCATCATTCTGTTCATCCAGAATGATGAGGCTGATCTGGATGCACAAGAACGTCATGGCAAGCAAATGGTATAGAAATAGTGGCATTTCCTGCATGGACATTGAAGTCGACACAATCCTGATAACAGTAGCTAACATGGAAGTGGGAACAACCCATTCATTCAACTTCCCTTCTCCATCGACATGTACTTTCTCACCAGATAGCCACGAAATAGCCTGATCAACAGCTCTGTATATGTTGGACCAGAGGGTCAGAGACATGGTCTTCTTGTCTCCAATGGTGTTTCCTACAGCCGCAGTAGTGAGTTAGCTGGAAAAATTGTGAAACGTACTGAGAGTGGGAGATACAGCAGCTGTGTGATTGATGTAGATGTTAGGGGAGGTTCCGTGGCCATCATGCTTCGTTGACCCTTGATAGTGATTATAAGCTTCGTGCTCATGTTGACCTCAAGCAGCCCGAGAGCCACATTTAGCCTAATCAACATACGTGTACATGACAAGAAGCAGAACAATTGATTAAACCATAGTTGAAGGATGTGAATCAGACTGGACAGACACCCATTGGCCCGAGACCTGGTGATAGACTGTCAGGAAAGTACTTCCAAGCTGCAGATTGTTCTAAGTTAAGCAATGAACTTCTTAGTCAATAACATGAGGAAGTGTTGGTCTTAGTACCCACAGGTTGGCACCAACAAATTGGGCTGTGACACTATCCCCAACCACGTATGAAGCCTTAATGTCAGTTAGGATATCACCAAAATGCTTCCCAATCGGCACAGCATTCTGACCTATCCCATTTCTCTGGTGCAGATTGACACTGCACAGAAGTTCCATCAATGCTAGAGGAAGAGTGACTGTTCTGGCCTCAGGAAATACTGTAACCAGGAATATATAGGACCATGGGGAGCACAGTTTGGGCCTTTGATCCTCACCTTGTTTACATGCATTTAGATGCAATTAGGGCATTGCAGTGCATGTCACTGTTTGAGAGGAAGACGATAACATTGACTAAAAATTCATATTGAATTGGCTGTGGTGAGGTTGTCGGTAGTCATGGTGATGGCCAACGACCAAGCTAGCATCGTTGGTTCTGCGATTGTTGGAAATTGGAGACCTGATCTCCATCCCGGCTTCCCACTCATACCCCTCTACTCCAACCTCATTCCAGCCTTCTCCTCCCCCCACTACAGCCCTTCCATCTCCCAGCTATATCATCTCTTCACTCTGAAAGTCCCCACCCCTCCTATTGCTGTTCTCCTTGTTCTGCATGTCATTGTCGGGTTGGCGCTCCATGTGCCCTCTCGCTACGAGATGGAGGCCAATATCAAATCCTGGAGTAAATCCAGGGTTGTCCACATGCTCTGAAGCTGTCTTCAATAGCAATTCACCCCAATAGTGATGTCAGGGATGCCAGGTCTGTCGGGGGTGATAGTGGCAGTGGATAGTACAAGAAAGAGGACGAAGACCAATAACGGGCCGGCTGAGTACCACAAATCTGAAAAAGGAAAGGAATTCACAGGACAATGATGAAGGTTGAAGAAAAGTTCCCATGACCTGGCCAGGGAGAATCTGATGGCAAATGCCATGTTGGACAATCAAAAATTTCTTTTCAGGTTGGCATAATGACCGATATCTATATATACATATAGGACTTGGAACTCAAAGCTCAAACAGTGAATCAAGACATTGGAAGGAGGACACCCAACACAAGGGCAAGTCAAAGAACGACGATGACTCGGGTTACAAAAGTAGCATGAGAGCTTCGAGGCAGGCAGGTTATTTCACGTACCCTACATCCATTTGTCCTGTGTTTCATGTTACTTGATGGCTCCAGGCTCTTTGTATTATCTCAAAACTGAATACATTTTTGCAGTAAATCCCCCCGAGAGAGCCTTGGCAACTGGACCTTCAAAGTCCAAACTTAGCCAGTCTCAGCATCTTCGCCTCAAGCCTTCTCGTTCGCAATCTCCTATGCTCTGGTAAGTCTCTATGAGCTCTCTGTGTGCTAATCAGACTATTTCAGGTTTTGGTTTTCCTATGAGAATATGTGCACCATGGGAGATAATGATGAAATCTGACCTCTTGAAATACCCAAATCTTCCAAAATTCAAAGAGACAGGGACCTGTGACACATACCCATGGATTCATGAGCCTACTAGTATTGGCTTGCTAAGTTGCACAGAGATCTTGATGTTATCCTGTGCTTACTGTGAAATGAATTAGAAAATGGAAGAAGGAATTGAGTCTGTGGAAGACTGCAGAAGGAGAACATTGAATTCAAGAACAAGTCGAGGAATGCCATCAAGTTCCGAAAAGCTTCAAGATAAATCATTCCACTCATCTGTCATCCATACATCATGCTTCTTTGATAGTAGCTTCAGGCCTGTCATAACATCTTGAGAGTCGATACCAATTTTCAGCAAAGGGCCCCATATTACGGTTTTACCCTTATTTTCCTTATCTTATCTTATCCTTATCCATCGGAACCCCGGACCTACCTATCTTATCTCTTGGACCCATGGTATTCCACCGGCACACTCTTCACCCAATTACCCGGCTGCCATCACCCCAGTTCATGCTGCTGCCTCCCAGATGACCAGTGACCCACATGTGCCATCATGCTTCTCTTGATGGCATCATGCTTCTTAGTAGTTGGATGAGAGTCAACCACTAGTCGAGGGCGGTCTACGGGATGCAGCCTATTCAGATGGAGTCCTGCGCAGGTGCAGGTGATATGTGCTCTTTACTCTCATTCGTTGGGAGTACACTTCTTTTAGTGTCCTCCCTCCTCATTCATTGAAAGACACACTTCTCGCTGCACATGCCCTTGTAGACACTATTCTTAGTACAAGTCTAACATGTATTTAAGCTAGCCTATGCTGTGGCCTTAGACCCCAGCTTCGGCTAAGGTTATACACTCCTAACTCTTACAAGCTCCCTGCTTTTGCTATAAGTGACGCCTAACTTCTCGCAATCTACCAACGCCTCTCTAACACTGAATCACCGAACATGAGTGACAGGATAGAGATCAGCTTTGGCGAAGGTTCGAGTTAGTGCTTAACACTTATATACTAGTTAGGAGTCCAATCTAGTTCCTACTCGGAGTGGTCTACATTCTAGGGTTGTCGGAGGATGTATTCTACCGGTTGGTAGCCGATGGGATCTGATGACATGTTCGCTACTGATGTCGGGCTATTGATAAATTAATATGGAGAAGTGAAATATAAAAGGAATATGAAATAGAATATGAAATAGAAACTGGGAATTGGAATCTGTAGGTTTCTGGGCTGTGGTTTGTTGGGTTGAGTGGAAGTCGGGTTTCCGTCGGCATGCTCATTACAATTACCCAAACCAACACCCCTTTCTCTACCAGGTTCCCCACTCACCACACCACCAGACACCCCTCCATCAAGCCCAATGTCAAATCTGATACCTCCAATTGCATTGCGAAATATTTCAAGTAAAATTGATGTACAGAACATTATTGAAGGCACTCAAACATGTCGAGCTGCCCATCTTGTCCAGGCTGAGCTGGCTGCTGACTCAGTTGTCACAGAGTATGCTTATTTGGCCATGAGAGACATGTCCAATGAACCAAGCATTGAAGAGGCAATGCAGAGGGAGGATTGGCCGCTGTTCAAGCAGGCCATGGACGTCGAGATGGAAGCGATGAAGAGGACAGGCAGTTTGGTGATGGACCCATGCCAAGGCCAATCAGATGCAATATCATCGGATCAAAGTGGGCTCTTCGCATCAAACGCAAAGCTAATGGAGAGATCGATAAATACAAGGCATGTCTCGTAGCTCATGGCTTCACCCAAGTACAAGGTGTTGACTACTTTGAGACTTTCTCACCTACTGCTAAATTATCATCTCTTCAAACCATTCTGTCCATTGCCACACATTACAACTGGGATATCAAGCTTTTTGATTACTCTGCTGCTTTCCTCAATGGCAAGTTTTCAGACAATGAAGAGATCTACATGGAACAGCCACCACACTACACAAATGGAAATCCAAATGAAGTCATACGCCTTCTGATGCACTATATATGGACTAAAGCAGTCAAGTCAAAAGTGGTATGAGAAGCTTACCACATCACTCGCCACATTAGGATTCCACACGCTTCATAATGATCATGCAGTCTACCATCTTATCAGAGGAGATGACATCATTTTAATGGCCATTCATATTGATAATAGCACAATCACCGACACATCTCCTACCATAATTGATGGAATTCAGGAAGAAATTGCATGGTGATGAGCCTCTAGGCTCTGTGTGCTCAGAATTCACAGATTTATCAGGCTTTTCTACATCAGAGCACAGCCATTGATTTTCAGGCACTTTGATTGCAGATCCTGATTGATCAAATCCCATCATTGATCCTGGCACATAGCCACCCCACCCTGAAATAACCCAGTCTTGATGATGAGTTAGAGAATTATTTAATTCGCAACAGTCAGCAGTGGTTTAGAACTTACTAAGACTGTTTAATTCGCTAAGCAAACCCCAGTGGATTGTTTGGTAAACTTGTTACAAAGCTTGCTTACTTGCAGTGCAATGCACAGTAATGCACAGTCCTTGTAGCCTGCGAATTTGATTGTACTTGACTCAGCATTGGTAAGGAAGGGTTAATCATGTCTTATTACTCAGTAATTAGTTCGCTTGTGTTATAAATCAACACAGCAAGGAATACTGTAGCTTACAAACCTTTAATTCACAAACTAGTATAAAAAGTAGCTAGCTAATTAGTTTAAAAAAAAGAACGAAGAGAGCAAATAAGGGAGACCCCAGATTATTCTCTATGCTTACCTTCGATCCCTAACACCTACACCATACAACATACACTCTTGAAGTAGCGCAATAAAGACAATTTTGCTGCTAGAACTTCATCTCGAACCTTTATTTCTCTAAGCAACGGTGAACCTTTAATGGTTACTTGTGCTTACAACCCAACCCTCTCTTCTATGCAAAGTAATTAGGAGTCCCACCACTAGGAAACTCTTTTATTGCTTTGCTTCGCAAACAAATTTGCTTGCTTCCACAGCTAGGAGACAGCGTTTTCATCCCTCCCATCAACGCCTTCTCTTTCTCACAGCCAGAGAAAGTCTTGTCGAGTATCAGACTGATCCTCATCACTTCGATTCAACCTTACCGTGCAAGTTTAATAATTCGCTACAGCCTCTGAGTTTGCAGCTAGAACTTGGACAGTTTCTTTAGAGCTCTTATTCGTTGCACTCACAGCTAGAGTTGCAACAGGAACAAGGTATAGTCCTTGTACATTTACTGATTTGTTTTAGGGCCTCTTCTAGGATCCCTTTCCCAATTACTTCCCTTCCTGCGAATTTTATAGTTCGCTACCGCCCTCTATGCTACCAGTAGAGAAATTTCTTTATCTTTCTGAACTTAGGAGGCTTTAGTCACCGCATGGAGGTGCCCAACTAGACTCGCTAGAACCATCCTTCAGATTCTGTGTCTGTCAGCACATACCACACCTAGGTTTTGTGTTTCTGCCCACGGGAGTCTATAGGTTCATCAGCGGATATTCAAAATTACAATGCTTGGACCGCTCAACTGGCTTCTCAGAATGGAAGTCAAATGGGATCACAAGAACCACACCTTATCAATTTCACAGACAACATACATTGATTTGCTACTACAGAAATTCAGGATGACTGACTGCAAATCAGTCTCTGTACCTCTTGATCCCAAAACTCAGATATCATGGGAGCAATGTCCCAACACTCCAAGCAATGTTGCGGATATGCGAGACATTCCATACAGGGAACTCATTGGTGGCCTAATATGGCTTTCTACTGCTACTCGACCAGACCTTGCATTCGTAGTCTGTGTTCTATCACGTTTTCTTGATAACCCCAGACATCCCCATTGGAATGCAGCAAAGCATGTGCTACAGTACCTTAAGGGTACATGCACCCTGAGACTTACTTACAGCAGATCAAACGAGGCACACAGTTTTGATATATATACAGACGCTGACAGAATGTCACTCGAGCATCGCAAAGCCATATTAGGCTATGTGTTTATCCTCAATGGCGCTGCGGTCTCATGGTCATCAAAGCAGCAGGAAATCATGGCGCTATTCACCACTGAAGCAGAGTATATCGCTCTGACTTACACTGCAAAAGAAGCCATGTGGTATCGTTACTTCCTGGCTGAATTATTGGGACCAATCTCTATTCCATTCATCATCTATAGTGACAATCAGTCTGCCATATCACTCACACATGCCAAACTCAGACAGTTTCATGCTTGTACAAAACATATTGATATTCGATATCATTTCATCTGTGAGAAAATCCAAGAAGGAACATTCAAAGTCATCTATTGCCCAACTTCTGAGATGACTGCCAACATCCTAACAAAGGCCCTAGCATCATTCAAGTTCAAACCCCTCATTGAAGCTCTCAGACTGATTCCAGCTTGAGGGGGAGTGTTAGCAGAACAAGCTGACATGCTAACCTTCTACCGGTCAATGGACCTTACCCATGCATGCAAAGTCATGTTGATACTCGAAGTTTCTACCTGATTCACTTAGCTATAATTTTAGGACACTTATAGAATATACTAGAATAATTGTACAGGTATAAAAGCCTTGTAGTTGTACCACTTTATAGATAGATTATCCTTCCACTTACTCTATTGCTGCTAATACAGTAGTGAACATGAAGGAGGATGCTATGCTGGAGTTGGCAGTATGGGTGGATGCAGAGGGTAATGTTCATTTCTGTAAGGAAGTGTCTGAAGAGGAGTTGCAGTCTGATGAGGATGAATTTGTGTATGCCCCTTCTCCAATTGACTATGGGAGTTCCAATTCAGAGTAGATAGAAATAGAAGTAGGAAAATGTGACTCATTTTCTACTGCACAGGAAAAGCTGCATGTAACATGGATGAATAAACTTGAGAAGCCAATCTGCAATGAAAGATGATCATCTCCTATCTCCTCTTTATGGACAACACCCATCTGCTTTTCACAATCTAATGGTAGCCAGTGTAGACCGGCTTGGGTGAAGCTGGAAGTGCAACAAGCTCCAAGCATTCATTCTGCTCAGGGGGCTGGTTATGAGCAGGCAATTTGGGAGGTTCATTGTTGTCAACAATGGAGATGTGGTCAAGATGATGGTGGAATGTAAGTCCAAGAGAGTGAGCCTGGCTGCAGCAGTCATGCTTGAGGATGTAGAGGACATAGATACCATAAATGGCAGTGCTGATGACTGCAGCACTGAGAATGGTAGGGACTGCCCACCACCCTTTTTGGGTATTGGCACTTTGGTCAGACAACATTGACAAAATTGGTGAAAGTCTTAGCCCATAATCTCTTCCCTTAAATACCCTAATTGGGCGCATTATTGGCACTTCTAGTCTTGCTTGGAGATTTCTCAGAATCTAGTATAGCAACTGGTGAAGTAGTTCTGGTCAGGGAATGTCCCTGTTGATGGCCGCAATAGCCAGAGTGATCAGGGATATTTCAATTCTGTGACATGGCAATTCTGAATGCTTTATAGAATGCTGCAGTTGGTCTAGATGTTGCCTTGAATATAGCTAGCCCTTAAGGTGTGGCTCTGTCTTGGAAGAATAGAAGGCACTGTTGTCATGGGCTGTCCGCTTCTATTGGCCACAATTTGTCCTGATGCAATTAGCATGGGGCAGTATTAGGGATTTAAATTCAGGGTAAACTGCATGTCTATTTTCTTCATTCTTCATGGCCATCCCCATGTGTGATTCTCCATCCTCTGTCATCTTCCACATGCGCTGCTTGCTCCAGATGATTCCAGCCAAGGGCTTCAGTCTATTCTATGCTGTTGCTAGGAATTTGGAATTTGGAATTTGTCATATTCCTCTTCGCATCAGGACTGCATCTGATCCAGTTGATTCTCCTGATAGTAGTGAGGTAGACTGGCTTCATCTATTTTGAACCTATCTCGTATGTCACTTCTACATTTCTGATTGACTTTGCTTCTTTCTGACATCTTTTCTGATAGGATGTGTATTATGCTGCTCAAAATGAGGTGGCATCATACTCTTCTCAAGAAGTCCAGGCTACCATTTGTCAAGTAGATCCCCCTGCCTGTTATTTTGCACACAAGGCCAATTTATTTGATCGTCTCACTTCGGATCAACAATCTGGTAACATGCAGCCCTGTTTTTCCAAGTATGTGCTGACTTGGTCACAATTAGACAACCAGAGTGTGACATTCAAGGATGAGGGGAGGATTCCACATCTATGGTAGAATCGAATAGAATAGTAATCGTCTTTTTGTGTCTTTTCTAAAATGTGCAAGAAATAGTATGAATCATGGGGAAATATATATAGGTATTTCTGCATCCATCTTTTGTATCCTAAAAGATATTCAGAGGATTTGGAGGAGGATAATCAGGTGGGGGTGGTATGTCTAAACCTTGGAGGCACATTTCTCGCCAAGCTGAATGGATGATAGCTGGCTCAGGTCAAGGGAGTGTGGGCAAGTCTAGCCTTGGTATGAGATCCTGCGATGACCCCTGAATGAATTCTGAATACAGGGAATCTTGTGGCCCTACTAGTGTGTGATGCATGTGAGATGGAATGGAAGAGAAAGATGATTGGCCAGGTGTGCTGCCATCATTCCCTCTGGCTGGAGAGGGCTGTTGACTGGCAAAGTTGGTTGGAAGAAATGGAATGCTCGTGCCATAGGCAGGCTACTTTGAGCAGTGGTAGCGATTAATGAAGTAGCAGACAGTTAGCCCACCAGGAATGAATACTAGTAGGGTGAGAAGTGCAAGATAAGCGAGTGTATTGTCTGGCATGATGGCCAATTGAATGGTTCTACAATGAATCATCCTTATATTTTTGTTGGCAATCCATACTTGGTTAAATAATTAATATGATAGCCACATTTTATGTGACCAGCATGATCACTATTTCTTTGGCATTAAGTTAAAGATTCGATGCCTGATTAAGTTGTTGATGAGATGATCTGGACTTGCTCCTGTTACGACAGTTGTCAGCAAACGGATTCTGATAGGCATAGCTAACATAATGATCTGAAAACATCCTTGAATTGTGCGATGACAGTTGTTGGCAAAGGGACTTGAAGAATTCAGATCATTGATCATCTTATATTAAAGCATAAATTGTGCCATAGGATTTTATTTGCACATATTTACAGACAGCGTCAAAGCTGGTACTCCACATATGCCAGGGGCATTGGGTCTTCCCAGTTACCATGCCACCAATTCATAGCTATTATGACACCTTCATGTGATCATGAAGTTAAGTGAAGGAGCCTGAAAGGTGTGACCTCCGAGGATGGCTTGAGGCAACCTGGATTCGAGACTGTCAGTTGTGGATCATTGACCCTGACTTAAATATCATTTGTGACAGTCTTGGCATTATTGATACAGGTGGTCTGGAGTGGTCTTTATGACATGTTTCCCCCAATCGCAAAATTTGCTCTGACTGCACATTGGCACATGGCATGGAATGATTCTCATGCCCATGGCAGATGCTACCCTTGATCCAATAGCAAAACTGCCTGTGGCATCGAACACAGTCACTGGAGTGCAATGTGGGAGGAACTGAGTTAGAGACCACATGGCATTGATAAGCTGATGATGAGTTCATTGCATCACTTATCAGGTGACTGCTGCATGACATCATGATAAAATGATAAGATAAGAGAGATAATAAGATTAGACAATCTTAGATTTAGGAACTGGTTCAGAGATATGCATCATGCTTGACATCTGCTACTGAATGCATTAGTGAGGTCCATAATATCGAAGGATAGTTAGCTAAAAGGAAGACAAAGTACAGTGTGGATTTTGCCTCAGTAAGTCATCATAGGCAGGAATGCACAGAAGATGTGCAACTTGAATAAATATAAATCAATATTTTAAAGTAAAGCTATATATCTTTATCAAAGGTGTCTGCAGTATGTTCCAATGCTTTTTGATGCTCTGAATCAAAATCAAGAAATTGTGCAAGGTCTGGTATATCAATAGATGCTTGAGAATGATATGGAATACAATGAAAAGCTGCAATTGGTTGTGCTAGGAGGGTACCATCCAACTCTGCAAGGATATGTGCCTCCCTTGTTGCAAGAAATGACAACAAGAGGCCCAAGATATCGTGGCTTAAATTTGTGATTTAGCTCATATTGCACTCTGATGTTACGAATGAGGACTAAGGAACCCTGTTTGAAATTCCAGTCTATAATTCGACTAGCATGATCCCCTTCCCATCATTTCACAGCTTTGACTCTTGCTTCATAGACCTTTAATTGAATGGCTTGTAGGTCAGCTTCACATTTCTGAAGTGTGATCGCACAATGAGCGATAAGTTCTGTTGTAGTGAAAGTTGAAGATGGAGGTGGGATAAGGAATGATGCTTCTGCAATGTCCAGTGGGAGAATAGGTGGTACTCCTGTTGTGACTTCATAAGGGCTACACCCCAGTGTTCTGAGAGGGGTTACATGTTCTGCCCATATTACTGAGTATGCCACATATGACCAATTCTTTTCCACCCCATCTGCTGCTTTGAACAGAGCTTCTCTGAAATCAAAGTGTCATCGTTCTATAACATCCTGGGCCTGGGAATTATATCCAGAGATAGTGATGTGATGGATGTCATATTGCTTTTTGAGTACTTCTAGTGCAGCCAGGAATGCTTGACCATTGTCTATTACAATCTCATGAAGTGACCCTCATTGGCAAATCAGGTCTTCATATATGAAATGTGCAAGAGCTGTTGCATTTTCTTTGCAAAGCATGCAGAATTCTGGATAGGCACTCATTGAGCATTGGTGTTGTGACTGCAGCCTATTTACGCATGTAATTTTGCAATCTAAAGTGTTTTACATGCATACTGAGATATAGTGAGTGAGCGGACTAAAACTACATGTCGACACTAATGCTACGTGGTGCAATGATATGGAATATAACTTATGGCATAAGAAGCAACGGGATTCTAAACAGGACTTAGTCATGGCACTGTACCTGACAGGCATGCGTGATGAGAAGGCCAAACCCTATACCCAATGCCTTAGGCTCTAACTTACAAGCATGCTTGTGGAAGCTAGATAAAACTTTGAAGATTGCAGTGACACTGAGAACACTTAGCATGCTCACTAACTGTGATGCATCATACCTGAAAATCCAGGGAAATCCTTAAGCGAGATGACAGCTATCACTGGCATGAACTTGGGCAATGGGCTTTGGCCAAAGTCCACGAGCCCACATCCCATTGTTCTGAGTCCCATTGTTAGAAGACTCACTTGTTGCCATGTCTATGAGAAGCCTCTGTGAATCCAAGAAAGAAGTCTTGAACGACATATGCCAGGACTGATAGTTCCAGGTGTCTAGACCTGTCGGTCACTAGAGAACAAGCCCGTGAGTGTCGGGAGAGCACCTCTTGGCACGTGTTTAGTGAGCTCACTATAGAAATGAGACTAAAACTGGGAAGCCTGACTCAGATGCTCAATAAGGCAGTGGTGGCAACATGCTACACATGTAGGAGTCTGGGTACTGTGCGACGTTTGTAATTCTAATTCCCCTGTAGTATAAGTAGGCTGGTTACAGTAGGTAGAGGCCAAGTTTTGAGCCCTCGAGTTCCCGTGCATGCATTGAAGGTGGTACTGTAACAAAGGATCAGTTTGTGACTATAGTGAGGTATCTGATGAATTGTGAAAGGAAAAACCCTCCCTCATGGTGGGCTCCAGTTGTAAGGCTTGAGAATGTAGGTGTGAACCAAAATATATTATTTAGCGAATTCTTTTGAATGGAAGGAGGGTCTTCAACAATTCTGACAGATTTGGACTAGATATGATATGAGGACAAGGAACTAGGTGATATAGGTTGATAGATGAGGATGATAGGTGATAGGTGAGGATGTAGAGAGAGAGATGAGGATGATGATTAAGAAGTAAAAGGTATACTAACTCCTTGGTTCAGAGCTCTAGGTGGTGCTAGGCTGCTACTGAGTTGGTGGAGTGAAAGGAAGTATATTGGGTCCCACTGATGTTGGGTTGAACCTCCTTCTTTCTGCTAATCTACAGCTGTATATATACTAGTAGAGAACAATAGACTACTAATTTAGGGTACAATGGAGAACAATAAAACAATGAAAAGGCTTGTAGAACAATGAAAACAATAGAATCTATAATACAATAGAGAACAAAAAAACAATGAGGTCCATGACACAAACAATGAAAAGAGAACAATAAAAACAATAGAACAATAGAAATTACAAGGATTACCAAAAAGAGAGAACAATAAAGACAATAGAATGATGAAACAATAGAACAATG